TGGAACATGTTCAACACAGCGAAGAAAACACAAGAATCACGTCACATACTAGAGAACTATTTTAATTAACAACGACAGCCACACTGTCCTGGGAAAATACACTGGGCCAAAAGTATTTTTCCTTCCTACCTCTGCAAATTAAGATGTGGCCAAAAATGCAGGCCCTGGGCAGTTATTACATTTAAAGCAAAGGCAAGACATCTTTTAAAAAGAATAGCTAAAATTTCTGCATTGAAGTGCGTTAAAAATGCCAAACTGAAACAAAGGGAAGTGGAAGAAAAGGCTTTGAATTAATAACGAGGTTGAATTACTTAATATTAAGGACAATAGAATACCTAGTTTCAAGGGGAGAGTAATTTCTTCAAATAACACAATATTTTGAACACAATGGTTCACTGTGCTTTAACATTTCATGACCCTAAGTTGACTATAGTTTCCAGTGAAGAACTCAAGGCCAAGCATCGTGCAAGGTTGGCCAAGGGCCAGAGTATTTTGTGGAGACACTGGAAGAACATTAAATTTGGAAGGATATCTTCCAAGAGATGGGCAGCTGATAGGGAATGGTGGGTGATGCAGTCACATAGCACCCTGCTACCCATGTTTGGAGCAGACATGTTTCAATGAAAATGGTTCAGACGGGGACATGCTTTCCTGGTTAGGAAAGGTCTGGAAGGCTGGATTTGGGGCTAACTGGTCTTCTCTTGTAGGACTACTCTTAGGCAAAATGATGTCCTGAGGGCTTATCTTCCTTGCCTCTCAAGTCATACTTAATGTCTTCTTGTTGCTTTCTGGACAATTGTGCTGCTCGGTCTTAATCCCACGAAGTAATGAGCCCCCTATCCCTGTGGGTTCAAGCACATGGTGGGCAGCTACTTTGTGTGGAAGCCGTACAGGGGCTCCATGTGTTGGATGGCTGATTGGACAAAATGAATTTGGAGGTCCCCTCCAACCTTGTGATTCTGTGCTTTAGAGACAGCTTATGAGTATTTGACTTCAGGAATAGTTAACGAAAGAGCTCAAGGTTCTCTTGATTTTGTCATTCTTTAAAATACATCAGGGATTAGCTGCTCTTAAAACATTACTGATCATCAGTTAAAGTTGGTACCACTAAATTCCGGAACTGAGAAATGTGAATAAATAAGTTTTCTTGTCTCCATAAATCTTAACCTACAAATACATGTATACGTGTAATACACACACGACCCCAAGCAACTACGCTCGATTTATTATGGCATGGTAGTTTCATATTAGGTAGAGAGTGTTTAGGTACAAATCAGACTTGGGCTGACATTTAGCATTTTGAAACTGGAAACTCACTTCTGAAGTCCTCTGGTCCAACTCCTTTATATATTGTCATTTCGGTGAACTGTTTACACACACTACTGCCATTCCAAAGCAAAGACTACTTTTGAAGAAAACGTTTCATAAGCAATCCGTCCACATATCAGTATGAACTGTTACAGGTAAAAGTACAGAGTTATAAAACAGTTCTTAATATTCCCTAACCTATAAGTATGGCCAAAAAATACTTGTAAAAAAAGCCTAAAAGCTACAGGCAGCTATTTCCAAAAAAGAAATATCAGAGGCTGTTGCTAGTTTTATACTGGAACTGATACAACCTATTAGGGAAATAGCTTTTTGAGTTATGAAAACTCATATCCTCTTTCAAGGTCAGGGTCCAAGTCTTACAACTTTTGTGTTCTCAGCAACTTAGTACTGTTCCCAAACAGAAGTGAGGGTGCATGCAGTGAAACATCGAAATTAGCACTCACATCCAGGGTACGCACCAGGTAGATGAGTACATAAAATCTAATAGACTTTACCCTTAATAGTAAAGTCTGGCTCTACTTCAAATAAATTTGATTTATTCTAAAATGAAAAAAAAAAAAATCACCAAACTTTCATACACTTTACTTCTTGTTCATCACTACATCATACAAACTCCTTGAGCTCAGTTCATGAAAGACACTGTTAGAGTTTCTCCCAAGGATAAAACCTCAGAAACAAAAATGCAGTCAAGACTTCTTCCTCCCGTGGGAAATTATGACAGGAGAAGAGAAAAAAGCTGCACATCGAGGATGTAAGGACCAAGTCATGATAAATCTGCCTAGTTAATCAAAACAGAACCAAATCTAGTAGAAGCTGTGCTTCCAAGGTCAGGTCGACCCTGGATCACTGCTGATCCCTCAGGGAGCCTGCACACATCATTCTGCAGCCTTGCTGGCTGCACAGGTGTATTACTGGGAGAAATTACTTGAACGTTCACAGAAGAGTTCAAAATGATGGGAAAGAAACATCAAACGAGGAAAGAAAGTACTCATACACTGCAAATAACACTGTCTTCCTAACAGGGGGCTTAGGACAAATATTTGGGTGTAATCACAGTGATTGTGCTAACTTCTAGAATGGATATGTCTATAATTTTTTTTCTTAATTTTATTTCGCTTGTTCTAATTTTCATTTCATACACACAATACATAGTATGTAAATGTAAATAATTTATTTTTTGGTGTGAGAGGGTTTGATGCTTCAAAAGCATTTTATAAAGAGGGAGCTAAATTGATTTACTAATTGATTTACTAATAAATCAATATGTAATTGAGATGTGTTAAAGCATTAATATTCAAATCACATTAGGGCAGGCAGTCCATTCTGGAGTTTAAGATTATATATAAAGTGCATTCTACTTTTAGTACGTAATTTTCATACCTTATTCGAAGTACAGGGTACTTATTTTGAACATGAATATCTTATGAGAAAGTTGATTCCCCTTAACTAAATATTAGATTCAAGGTGGTTTGCTACATTCCTAAGTATTACTGAATAACAGCTGACAGAACCTAAAGCTCTGATTTCATAGTGGAAGCTAGTGGAGAATGGGATTCACTTGGAAGAAATGTCGTTAAAACATTTTAAATTAACTATTTCAAGCATGAAAAATAGCATAGCAAATATAAAACAAACACCCAGATGCCCACCACCCCTAGCTTTGTTTGTTAGTTTTGTTTTTTTTTGTTTTTTTGCGGTACGCGGGCCTCTCACTGTTGTGGCCTCTCCCGTTGTGGAGCACAGGCTCCGGACGCGCAGACTCAGCGGCCACGGTTCATGGGCCCAGCCGCTCTGCGGCATGTGGGATCCTCCCAGACCGGGGCACGAACCCGTGTCCCCTGCATCGGCAGGCGGACTCTCAACCACTGCGCCACCAGGGAAGCCCCGACCCCTAGCTTTGTTAAATACAGTTGACTTTTGAACAATATGGGTTTGAACTGCACAGGTCCACTTATATGTAGATTTTTTTCAATGGTAAAAACTATAGTATTGCACAACTGGTGGCTGGTTAAATCCACAGATGTGGAATCGTGGATACGGAGGAACTACATATACGGAGGGCTAACCATAAGTTATATGCAGATTTTCGACTGCACAGAGGGTCAGGGCCCCCAACCCCCAGGTCGTTCAAGGATCAACTGTATTAACATTCTATCTCCTTTGTTTCAGATTTCTCTTTCCTTTTAAAGAAGTGGAGCCAGATTATACTCCTCAATGCCTTTTTCTCTACCCGCACCCTGTAGAGGTAACCACTATCTTGAATCTGTCTTTTATCATTCTAATGAAAAATTTTACCTTTATTGCATGTGCCTATATCAAAAAATAAAGATAGCCTCAACCTGCATATTTTAAAATTTATACCATAGTGTCATGCTGTGCTTATCATTCTACCAATGTTTCTAGAGATTTATCTATGTTGCTACAGATAGCTCTAACGCACTTATTTTAGCCCTTCTATGTGGTTTCACTGTGTGAATGTACTGCCATTTATTTAACCGTTTTCCTACCAATGAATACTCAGTATTTCCCCCTAATACTCTTATAAACAGTGCTGTCATTAATCGCCCTCCTGCAGAACTGTTCTCTCAGCTTGACCTCAAGACAAAGCATCACTCAGTTCCTCTGGGACTCTCACTCCCCATGTTGGACCATTGTGGCCTGGCCATGAAATATTTCTCTCATTGTTTCCTCTTCTCCACTGCCCACCCCTTCTTTCTACCACTGATACAGTTCAAGCTATTATCTCTAGACTACTGACCTCCTCATAGGCCTCCCAGGTGCCAGGCTCATCTACTTCAAATCAATCCCCCACCCCTACTGCCTGCTGGAAGAATGCATATAAAAGCCCAAACTAGCCACACCATGCCCTGTAATCACTCCCACTGCATGTGGGACACAAGTTCCCCAAACCAGGCCTGTGTTTCTCTCTGCTCTTGTCTCCTTTCAGCATCCCCCTCCTGCTGGCAGCTCCGCCTGTATAACCCATGCTGTCTCCGAGCCTCTGCTTGCGACTGGAAATATTTCCCCTGTATACCCAGCCAATGCCTCCTCAACCTTTAGGCCAACTTTGGTTTCACACTGACCAGAGAACTTCCCTACCCATCTGCCGTGCTCCCAATGCAACCTCTACGGAGTCCAGCACTTGCACGTTTCACTGACATTCACAGAAAATCACTTGTGTTCCTCTGGAATCGAAGCGCTACTTGAAGGCAGGGACTGAGTTTTATTCAACTTTACATCTCCAGTACCCAGAGAAGCATCTGAGATACTAACAGGCTTTCAGACACAGGCTGAACTGAAGTGGAAGGTAGCCAATCCATTAAGTACAGTTTATTTTCAAAAGGAAGGAGAGCCAGTCTATTTAAAACAAGTAATTACTATGGAATATGTAATGAAAAATGACGTATTCAGCCCTCTGTGACAAGACATCTGTTAGCTGATACTTATGCACTAACAAGTACAATAAATGATACTAGTCGAGGTGACTACAGCACTGCAAGTACCTTCTGAATCATTAGATTAACTTACACACAGCCTTTGTCACAGTTGTGAGCACTGTATTGTCACCTCCAACCTAGAACCTCCAAGTCCTTCACGATGCCACCATACATGGGCAGAATCTAGATGGTTTTCAACATCTCCTCCAAGACGTGATCACATTCTTTACCTACCTGTGACCAGCTCCCTTACTTCTGCATCAACAGATTTTCTCAACAGTCGCAACAAGGCAGGTATCCCACCAACATTCTTCATCGCGATTTTATTTTCATCTGTAGACTTGCCAAAAACAAGGTTTCGGAGGGCACCACAAGCATTCTTCTGAACTTCCAAAACTCTGTGGTCCAAAAGGTCAACCAGATGCTTGATTCCCCCTAACCTACACACCTAGAATGAAAAATATTAGGTACCAGGCCTAAGTGACATGTGGTCAATCAGAGAGCAAACAAAAGTCTGTTATGGAAAGATCACGGAAAACATACAACTCCAGATCATTTCAAATGATTATTTTTTATTCTAAAAAAATACATGTTCTATAAATTTTAAGGACACTCTCTAAGATGAAGCTCTTTTCACAGGTTCATGGCTTAAAGAAGGGAAGGGAGACTTAGGTGGCTTAACGGCCACATGCAGGTAACATGGTCATACGCCAACCCTCCGAATGTACACAGGGATTATGCTGTCACTTCCAAGTGAAATGCACAAATACACGACCACAACAAAGCTGTATGCAGGGTCGAAGACAACACAGGAAGAGATTTTTTTTTTGCGGTATGCGGGCCTCTCACTGCTGTGGCCTCTCCCGTTGCGGAGCACAGGCTCCGGACACGCAGGCTCAGCGGCCATGGCTCACGGGCCCAGCCACTCCGCGTCATGTGGGATCTTCCCGGAAAGGGGCATGAACCCGCGCGTCCCCTGCATCGGCAGGTGGACTCTCAACCACTGCGCCACCAGGGAAGCCCCAGGAAGAGATTTTTGACTGAAGTCATTTGCTTTCTAGAATTGTTTCTCTAGGTGACTCTCCCTAAATTTTCTTCCATTTGTCACTTCATTAATATTTATGTGAATATTTTTGGGCTTTATTTACTGCATTCACCTTTAGTCTGTAACTGTGTGTTGTTCTAAATTTTGAGGGGTGAAAAACGCTTAAGTTCCATATGACATTGCAGGAGGAAAAAAGGTCTAAAATGTTAAATCTAGCCAATATCAATGACTCACTATGTTTCTATAAAAGCCCCAAAAGCTTAAAATCTGAAATAAAATATTCATATATGTTCGGTATTAGTAATGGTTATAAATCCTTTACTTAATTGTGTGTTGGCACCGATTCTGACCAGAATCTCGTAAAATACATGAGTTCACAAGTACATACTATAATTTGTATCTAATAGATTTATAGAAAATACTTTTAAAATGCAGGTTAAATTGATTTTGTTTCATGTTTTATGAATAAGCTAATGAGTGGACACATGATTTGAAAATGCTAAATGTACTTCAAGAAATAATCTCATCCCAGATTTTCCCAAGAAATATTGAAATGCATAGCTGAGAAGTAAAAGAGTCACTGGTATCAGAACACCCCTTGAAAAGGGTCTCTAGATTGCATCTGATCATTTCTTAAGCACACAAGCACGCAGCTGCTAAACAGAAAGGCACTGCTCGGCCCTCCCCATTCCCCGCCCTGCCAACTCTGGCATCCCAGGCACTGGTCCTGTACCTCTAGCTTCACTTTGTTGTCGCCAAAGCACAGGTGTTGCAGGTAGGCTGCTGCGTTTGCCTGAACTGACGGGAACTGGTGCTGCAGCATGTGAATGACTTCAGGCAACTCGGGATCACGCCAGGCAAACTCCCTGCACGAGAAAAACGCGGCTTCAGAAAGGAAGGCCCGTGTTCTACCGATACACTGAACAAAACATTTGTCAGAGAAGAGAGCTCAACGGAGACAATGGGAAGTTATAAAAATCCTAAAAGAACTATATATATATATATATGTGTATGTATGTAAATAATTTTTATGCACTGATGAACATATCACAGATGCTTATGATCTTAAAGAAATCATGATGCACAGATGCAGAGAAAGATTCAGGGTAACAAAGAGGTTCTTAATATGGGTAACTTTTCCATTCTTGTTTTCCTCCTCCTGATTCTAATTTTACGCCTTTCTACCTATGTAAGAAATTCGCAGGTGTGAGGCTCAGGTAAACAAGTGCACTTCAGCTAGGTGAGATGTCACTCCTGAGGAGGGAGGAGCAAAAGCCAGTGGAAATACTGTGTGCCTGATGATTTTTAAGAAATTTAATATATATGGTTGCTCTTGATTATAAGAAACATAAAACATGATAAAAAATGTTTTTGCAGTAACCCTATATCCAGAGAAAACAACTGTTGACATTTCCCACTGGTGTTTTTTTCAACCAACATATGCAGGCAAGCGTGCACATGTGTGTGTACAGAATTTTTTTCAAAGAATTGGATTATTACTAAACAGCACGTACTATTCCGTGCCAGGCACTATTCTGGGCATTTTATGTGTATTAGTTCATCTATCCTTAAATTGACCTTGTAGATTTGGAGGTTGAAGCAGAAGGGCTAAGCGACTTGCCTAGTGTCACCCAGCTGGTCAACAACAGAGCAACATTTGAACCCAGGCATCTGCCTTCAGAGTCTGTGCCCTCACCCCCGTGCTATCCCACTTCTTGTACAATAAGTATACAATCATATTAAATATACATACATACTTTGATACTATGTTTTTTTCAGGTAACATCACATTGTCAGATTTTCTGATGTAACTTGATCGGCTCACTGTTTGGAATCCTTGTTAAATGTGATTTTATGCTTATGTTACATAAAGACCAGCTTCTTACAAATGGTTCACAAAGCAACAAATCTGCAGACTTTGATAACAGGATGGAGTAAACTGTTAATCAAAAATGAATTAATCCAGAAGAAACTTAAAAATAAATCTTTAAATTAATGACCCAGTGATACTTCTATGGCCCAGTTTTTAAAGGTCCACAGCCTCTCTGGGCAGGCTCCAGTATGAACTGGTTCATCCACTACAGAGGGTCAGGTCATTCCACACCTGCACACACACATTCATATCACACATTGGTGCATTCTTACTATGCTACAAGTGCCAGAACAGGTGCTGGAGATACAAACATTGAATAAGACATAATTTTATATATAGGGGCTTGTATGCCAAACTAAAAAAGTCTAGTCTTAATAGCAATAACATGAATAATTACTTATTGAGATTATCTGTGTCAGGTATTCTGTCAAGAGTTTTATAGATATTATCTCACTTACCTTGACTGTTGCCCCATAAGGTAGGCACTATCAAATAACATTAGATACAGATAGATGAGGGACCCGGGATTAGTAATTAAGGGGTGGAGGTTAGTGGTCTAATATGTTATCACCACGCACAAGGAACGGAAAGCTAGTGGAGGTCTTAAAGCAGAAGCGTGAGAGAATGCAACAAGGTCACATTTATAAGGAAGATAACTCTGGTGGCCAAGTAGAGAATATACTAGAATCAAAAAAGACTGGTGGCAAGGAGACTATCCCCTATCCCCACATTTGCTCAAAATAGGACCATCCTTGATTTTTCTCTTTCCCTTATCCTTCTCATCCAATCCATCAGCAAGCTCTGTTGACTATCTCCAAAATATTTAATACAAACCAAATCCATCCACTCTTTCTATCTCGGCTGGACCCTCTACATGCCACTTACATGTTCTCTCTGCTTCAAATATCACTCCCTCCCCCAACTATTCTTTGCACGGCAACCAGATGATCTACTGAAAACTGAAATCGAGGGTGAGATGGAGATTTCCAGCTTGGGGAACAGACTGGGTGATGATGATGTCATTAACAGGCATTAAGAAAACCATAAGTGCCGAGAGGCAGGACAACGCAGCAGAAAAAGCACAGAATTTGGAGTTAGATTGCCTATGTTTAAGTCCCAGGTCCTTCAATTGTGATGTGATTTTGAAAACCATTTACATAGAACTTCAGTTTCCCCATCTGTAAATTAGGAACAATAAAACTATCATGTTTAACTTCTTCTTAGGCTGGCTATGATGACTAAATTGTGGTGATATTTATTAAAGTAGTTTACATACTTTGCATTATGAAAGATGTTTTACTAATATTCATCATCCCTGAAAAATGAACTATACTATGTTAACTATTTCTGATGAAAATCTATCTACAGTCTATTATATATAAATCTATAAGGTAATTAACAGAGTGCAAGGAGTGTGATTTAATCTTTCCGTGATGACTCAATCATTACAAATACACATTTCTGTTCTCTTTAAATGGCACAGGGATGGTCAAGATTTCCTAGCATCCTTGGGTGCCTCCTGAGCCAGACAACACAAAGGGTGGGCTCCCGCTGGAGATGGGCAATTAGGCTCAGTTGACACCAACTCCAGCCTTGATTTTCAGAAGAAATTTACCCTGGAAAGACTTCTATCAATTCATGGGCTGGCTGGATGGCGTCAATGCTTGCCAAGATTTGCTTCATTAAAACCTAAGCCCAGACTTCTGTTTTTAGCCATGATAGAGTAGTAACCAGTACTGGACTTTGCCTTCCTCCCATAAACAACCATTAAACTGGACTAAATGTGTGAGGAAACTGTTTTCAGGCCCTAGACAACAAGTAACACAAGAATGTAATCCTTGAAGGGGCGGGGGCATCACCCTGGGAACCCCATACTCACTTGGCTTTCTGCCTGAGGGCACTTTTTGGATCATGGCACAGGAAGCAAGTCTGAATGGGCATGATGGTCTAAGTGAACTGAGGGGGAAAGACTGGAATTTGGGGATGCTCAAGAGGTTAAAATTTGCAGGGCAGGATATTGGAGAGGACAGAGCTATGCAGAGGAGATTTAACAAGTCTGTGTAAGGATTACGCACAAGTCGTTAGTTGAGCGCTGGGCTGTACACGTGCCTTGCATGTACATGTACAGGTCTGGTGGAGAATAGCTGCTGCTGGAATGAGAACTAAACCAGGAGTTGTTGGACTTCCAGGCCAGTCATAGTGCAGACCTCACCGATCACCTCAGCATTTAGTCTCCACAAAGGCCATGTTTAGGAGTAAGAACCATTCCACAGAGTCAGGGCCATGTTCTAGGAGTAAAATAAATCTAAAATAGACCTGTCCTAGCAAAGAACAGAACCAATTGTGACAGGATCAAAAGCACTTGTCAGTAATTTAGTTATTTTCCACAACGAAACTTAGAATCCTAAGAGGAGACAACATAATACAGAGTCCCTACGATGTATTATCCACAACAATCAGCATATAATTTAAAACTGCTAGGCATAAGAAACAGAAAAATGTGACTCTCAAAGATGTAAACAAACAAATAATAGAAACATACCCAGAGAAAACTGAGATGTCGGAATGATCAGAGGACTTTAAAATGGTTTTTATAAATGTGCTCAAAGACGTAAAGCAAAAGATGTATGTAAGGAGTGAATAGATGGGGAATGTTATCAGAGACATGAAAACTACAAAAAAGCCAAATTAAAGTGTCAGGAAAAAAAAATCCACTGGGTGGGCTTAACAACTGACTGGAGACCACAGAAGAAAAACACAGCAAATCTGGAGACAGATTAATTAAAAAAAAAGATCCAATATGAAGGATACAGAGAAAAAAGATTAAAAAAAAAAAAAGAACAGAACTTCAGTAACCTGTGAGATGATGTCAAGTTATCCCAGGAGAGGAGAGTGAATTTTGGGCCAGAAAAAATATTTACAGAAATAATGGTTGAATATGTCTCAATTTTGGTAAAATCATCAACCAATATTTAAAGAATGTCAGTGAATCCCAAGCAGGTTAAATGTAAAGAAAACTATGCCTAGTCTTGTTAGAGTAAAACTGCTTAAGGTCAACAATAATATGAAAAGTCTGACAGGCAGCCAGAGAGAAGATACATTGCATAATGAGAAGAACAGTACAAATGTTGGCTGACTTCTCATCAGAAACAATGGAGGTCTGAAGACAAGGAACAACATCCTTTAAAGGACTGAAAAAAAAAACACCACACCCTATTAACCCTGAATTTTATACCTAGCAAAAGTATCCTTTAAAAACGAGTAAATAAAGACACTTTCAGATAAATTAAAGCTGAGAGAATGTGTTGCCAGCAGACATGCAACACAAGAAAGGCTAAAGAAAGTTCTTCAGGCTGAAGGGAAATGAGTGGAGACGGAAACTAGAATTTCTAGGAAGACATGAAGAGAACTATTTACAAATAAGTATGCAGGTGAATATAAAGACCATCTTTTAAACTTAGCTTAATTTCTTTAAAAGACAACTGACTATTTACAGTAAAAATAACAACACTACATTATGGATTTGATAATGTATGTAGAAGTAAAATATTTGACAACAACTTAAAGGTCAAGGAGATGGTAAATGGAATTATTCTGTTGAATGTCACAGCTGAAGCCCTCCTCAAAAAGAACACCATGATTGCTGTCATTCTTTCAGTCACTGTCACTTTCCATAACAAGTACTGTGTTACTCTTTCAGATGAATTATTTGTACTATTAATAAATTTTGCTTCCAAACTAGACAACTATTAAAAAAAACTCATACATTTCCTTTTATGTATAAAACATCAACAACTTCTTAAGTCTTGTAGGGTAGTTTTCAGGTTAACTATAATGTAGCATTAATGACAGAGGAAGTAAGTTTAGAAGTGAATAAAAATAGTAAAATTTGCTATTTTTAAAACTAAAAATTAAGTAATAATTATCATGAGTTTTTAATTTCATGGTTTGACTTTGACTATTCAAACTTTAAACTCACTTGGATTCCAGTTTCAAATAAATAAATGCACCTATTATAAGATAATCATTTATTCATCTTACAAAATGCATTATCAGTAAAGTTTCACATAATCAAAGCTAGCCATAACAGTTTTATGCATTAGACTATGAAATTATCATACTATGAATAACTGAAGTATATTATCAGACACGAAATCCTTGTTTATAATGAATCAGCTCATATCAGAGGTCAAAACTGAAGTCTTCAGGAATGCATACTAAACTCAAAGCTCTTATCATATTTCACTGCTTTTCTGGGTAGCTATTCTTTTCTCTGCAGATTCAGCCAAGGGATGGTCTAAATTACCTACAATTCAAAACCCTTTTGAGAATTTCTGTATCTAGTAGCGTGCCCTAGTCTGTTGTTCTTGTGAGGACTTCAAAAAGATTCCACGTGCTGCAGAGCAACTAAGCCCATGCGCCACAACTATTGTGCCTGTACTCTAAAGTCTGTGAGCCACAACTACTGAGCCCACACTCCGCAACAAGAGAAGCCACCGCAATGAGAAGCCTGTGCACTGCAAAGAAGAGTAGCCCCTGCTCACCGCAACTAGAAAAAGCCCGCGTGCAGCAACGAAGACCCAGTGCAGCAACGAAGACCTAATGCAGCCAAAAATAAATAAGTAAACAAACAAACAAATTTAAAAAAAGAACAAAAAACAAAATCATGTAAAAAGTTTTTGACTTAATTATATTTAAGTTGTTATTAGACAAATTATTTTTAGAAATCCTTAAAATAACAGAAGGGTGACAAATAGGAATAGCAGAACCAAATGTACGCATACACTGTAAAATATTTTAGGCAAAAGAGTGAATAGGTGGAGTGGTTTTAGTGAAGCAGTGGGTGTCCCATTCAACTCAAAAGTACCTTAGGTTATTTTGTTTTAATAACCAAACCTCACTCATGCTTTTAATTCATTAAAATAAGTTGGTAGGCTGCTATAAATGAATTGATAATGATAACAATCTTTCAGTGAAACAACTGTTTGTGGGCAAAGAGCGAATGAAATCTTGTTAATATACGCCTTAAAATAACACTCAAGCTGCTTAAAATTTAGAAATAATTTCACTCTTTCAGAAGCTAAAATTCTCTTTTAGTTTCTAAATATCTTTATTTCCTGAATATTTTAAATGACTTTCATTAAAGAGATGAGGCTACTTTTTCAAAATCGATCAAGTACTAAATGACTCATCTTAATAAAACATGTTTTCTACATGGCCAAATAAAATTAAAAGCAGGAAACATCTATTATTTGCCAAATATTTTTTGCTCATGAGATGTGAGAATTTCTCGTAAACTATTTTCCCCTAAATGGCAGAAAGCTTTTCAAAGGACCTAGTTAATAAAAGCGCAACACGGCACTGACCACTATGATTCAAAATGTACATGACACTGGTCTTTCCCAGTTTAAAACAACCATATGCATTTTCTGAAGCCATCATGTAAGAGGTCAGCCAAGATAAAGGAAAAGGCATAAAATCTTTTTATCTTTTTAAGATCCTTTTTAAGATCTTTTTAAGATCCTTTTTAAGATCTTTTTAAGATCTTTTTATCTTTATCTTTTTAAGATCCTTTAAAATCTTTTGTGTAATTCAGACGAAGAGGCTATCCCAGGTAGTTGCCTTGATGAAGTATTTCAACTGTGGGTGCTGTAGATATTCACACAGACCTGTGCATTCTCTGACTTATTATTAAAGCGCTGAAAGAAGGAATCTATCTCTAAAGTGAAATTAACCCCAGTGACCTACAGTGCTGGAAAACAACTGGAAATATGAGAGATAAGGAGTTACTGGTATTATAACAGACACGGCAACTTGAAAGAAGTCAGGATGAAGGAACTAGTTGACTCCTGAGATATGGTGGCATTCTGGAGACTCATAACCAGTACTTGCCTGGGATCTTTCTGAATGCTGTCTATTGACGGGGATCTCGTGGTGCCATCTTCAGCTGGTGCTATGTGCTGAAGCCTGTTATAATTGCACTCTTGCACTCGGTATTGTATTGGCCTGTAGGGCTCCGCATAGGTAGCTGTTGTGTTCAGAGCATAATTATTTCTTTGGTATGTAAGGGTACTTCGTTGGCTGGACGTCCTTTGCAGATTTCCAACACCTACTAGAAAGTCAGCATTTTAAAAAAGATTAGTATGTTCTCCACAAAGTGATACTTTTCAAAGTCAAAATATTTTTAGTTTTAAGAAGGGTTAAGTTTTTAACAATTATATAAATTGCTTACTTTTAGATATTACCAATCTAGCTCATTAGTGCTAACAAAGGCACTGAAGTTTTTAACATAACACAAACAATATTTATGTCAATTTTATTAGCAGGAAAGAGCAAAAATGAAACTATAAATCTGCTTACACAGTAGGTCTTAATATGTTTAAGATTTAGTAACAAAACTGAAAGTGAAATAAAGGAAAATAATTAAACTAATCTTAGAAATAAATAACAAAATTTCATAACTACATTTTAGCAATAAAAGACAAGTAAGATATTCAAACTTATAGATAACTGAAACCGTCAAACTTTGGACACCTAGTGAATACAGGTTACGTATTTTGATATATATTTTATTTATAGACTTGTGTATTTTGATAACATTGGAGAATATACTTCACAGGAAAGAAGACTGATATATCAAATTCTTCTAAAGCTACTCCCTAAAATGATTGCGTGATGCTATGTATAAAGTACTGTACATTGTATTTAACCTTCCTTTCCAAATTATTGCAGTAGGTATCTCTCCAATGATTGTGTTCATATGCTTCCTGCAATTAACATAGTTTAACACTATTTACTTCTTAATCCTAATAAAGAAATTCTTCAATTGACAGAACATAATGGGTGAAACATTTCTTCACTAACATCTATTAAAAATTGGTACATTTTATCAGGAGAAAAATACCACAGTGGACCAAACTGTCAGTTTTTGGCAAAGAACCAATTCAAATTCAGTCTTCTCCCTCATGGTGTTCTGTGAGGTATGGCTCCTAGAGCTGTGTCTTTAGGGAATTATCATTGCTACCTGGAATTCATTTATGGGCACGTTAATAAATCTGTACTTTTTTTTTTTTTTTTTAAAGCGGCCTCTTGGGACTTTATAAGCCACACCCGTAGCACAATCTGGCAGCTCACGTGGCCACAGGTTCTAGCTTCTGCTCTATCAGCCGCTACGGTGTGACACAAATGTGAGTCTGGGGGTGCAAGGGTGTGATGCACTAGCTGCTTATTTTTCTTCTTATTTTAAAAATTATTATTATTATTTTTTGGTCACACCACGTGGTATGTGGGATCTTAGTTCCCCAACCATGGCTCGAACCTGGGCCCCCTGCAGTGGAAGCACGGAGTTCTAACCACTGGACCCCTGGTGAATTCCTGTTCCCTATTTTTATAACTGCCATCATTGCCTTCTGTCCCAGATTGAGCCTATCATAAGGAATATTTATTTCACATTCTATCACTTAAGAATTCAGAAGAGATTCAGTAACGAAAAAAGAGAAATACCAAATACACTTGGGCTACATACATGCTAAATCAAAGATAAGCCGATAGCTCACGTAGGGATTTTCTCTAAATACATGTTCTAGGAAACAAAAATTACAAAGAAATATTCCAAAAAAGGCTTTCCTTTCTATATCTGATATACTTCTAACCTGAGGAGTCGGATTTATAGCTCAACAAACTTATTTGTGAATTAAAATATAATCACTGTGTTCACTGATCAGGTTGAACTAAGGTAAAAATATAGCACTTATAAATAGGTACTAAATGAACTTCTGTTTTACTGTTTATTGATTTGCTTTCACGGCTGCTTATCTGACAACCAAATGGGCAATATGAATTCACTCTAACAGGAAATCCATCTCAATAAAATCCTCTACTCTTGGGCTGGTGAAATTGGGAAAGCAGCTGAACAGAGCTGATGCCCACCCGAACCTGTGCGGTACAGTGCTGTCTGCGATCCTTGGAGCTCCACGGTTCCGTGGTTTGGGCTGCGGTAAACTGGGCTGTAATAGGTCCTCCCCTCATAGATAGGAGTGATGTGCAAGTCGGGAGACACAGTTGAACGAAGGTCTTGTCCAAGCTGGCTGTGCTGACTAGCATAGGAACTCCGTAAGCCTACAGGCAGGAAAATTACATCATTAAAAAACTTGAAAGCTGTGGTGAGGTTAAAAGTATAACTCCTAAACAACAGGACCAAATGCTGAGTCTAAACACCAAACCTAGTGAGTTTTACAAAAGACGGATGACAGATATGAATGGGATACCACATACATTCTAAAAATAAAACTTTCTCCTCTGGCAGCAGGATAAAAGTAAATTTTCTAAAAAAAATATAAGAGATTATTAAATGGTTTGATACTCTGAAATTCATCCCCCAACTGTAAGCTATTTTATGATGGTGACCAAAAAGAGAGCGCCGTCATGTCCCACACCTCTTTAAATCCCAACACTTAAGACGACACCTACATAATAGCGCTTAGAAATAGGCTGATGTTCAAGAACTGTTCTGAACTTTGTCTCAATTCATTCATCCAAGATTTTTATAGAAAAAGGTGAAATTTTATGTTACAAAGTTTAAAATATCATCAGCGAACTAACAAGATTTATAAAGTATTCTTTTATTATTTGTTATCACAATTAAAAAAACAAGTGTTTTTCTAGGAATCCAAATACCAGATTCTTGTTTACCTTCTTTCTAGTGTAAAGGAAAAGTACAAAGTTAGTGTATTAAGTCATTTCAAATACTCTCATTCAAATTATTAATAATTAATGCAAATTTCAAACCCAAACATGTTATTTTCTTTAAAAAAGTGAATTAGTATATTCTACATTATGATGCTCAGAAATTTGTGAGTTGTCATCATTCATTAGTAAGTAAAATTTGTCACTTGGTAAGAATACCAACTAAGGTTACATTCTAAATACGATCAAGAAAAAGCACAAACATATCTGAGGTCAGTCAGCATATATTCGCTTTTAAAAAGACTGCAAATAATCAACACAGTAACTAATTACCAAAAGACACGATTGCTCACATCTTGTTAGCTCAGTTAATCATATGACAACTAAAAGTGAATGGGCCTGAATGTGAGTGATAATTACATGTTGCTTAGTGAGGAGTGGCAAGAAAGTTAATACATTAAAGCTTCTAATATGAATGATTATTACCAACCCTGGACAGCAATGTGACATGGGAAGAAATTAAATGAACAAATGTGGGTTTTGGCTACTGGCTCCTCACTTACTAAAATGAAGATCACAGGTTTATACAATCTTATAATTGGGAGCTCATTCAGCCAAATCTTCCCATTTTAAAATTGAGGAAACAGAGCCCCAAAGGAAATGTAGTTCATCCCCTTCAGAGAGCTACTTCCTGGTGGGGCTGAGAGGAAGCCCCCTCCATGACCTGTCATTGCACTGGACAAAGCTATTTCTCAAGGATCAATGAGACATGGTGTGAGAAACCTTGAACTGGACAGAGCCCTCCACAGACATAAGGTTAAGGAGGGAGGTTAGCTCACCAGGGGTTCATGGAAGCCCATGTAACTCTAAAGACCATATTATGATTGCTGTTGTAAAGTTCTCATCTGAGGATTTCAGCTTTTTATTCACTGGCAGATGTCTCATTCTTAGCACAGTATAAACTCCATTTCTTTATAGAGCCCAAGAGTATCTTGAACAAAAGTTGCAGGCATTGATTTTGTTAATGGTGACGTAAAGTGGGCAGGAAAATGCACCTAGTTCTTGGAAATCTTATCAGTATGAGGCATTATTTTAATATTCAGTAGAGCCCTTGATTTACTGTGAGACTCTGAAGATCGCAAACACTTGGGTGGAGGCAAGCTGAGCCCTGGATGCTCCTAAAGTTGGCTAAGCCGCCTTGGCTCACCACCACAGTGATGTGAGAAGAGACCAAAGCATTCTGCCCCGTTCAGAATGTGATATTCTCACTGTGCCAGGATCTAGCTGGAGTCTTCACTGGAATCCATATAATATGAAAACTTTCATAAACATTTACTATGATTTCACAAGAAAGGTAACCAAATGAGCTTGTTACCACTTACAACTATAAAAAGTATCCAATTAACAGCCCCCTGTTACAGGATTATTAGTGAGATGAAATGACTGTATGTGATAGACTATAACGGGAAATAAAAACTTAAGAATTATAGTGAAATAGCAATTTCTCGATATTAGAAATCTTTCTGAATAACATTATGATGGTAAATATTTTTGTTTACCTACTCATGCATTAAAACAAAAACACAACTACTGTAGATTAACATTTAAAAAACTACAAAATTACATAGCCCCTATAGATTAAGTAAAATGACTGTGCAGAAAGGCTATTATAACTTAATGTCTTTTAAACTGGAAGACAAGTGATATGTTGCAATTCCACAAATGCATACTAGTTTACCTACTTCAATGATATATTCCTTGTGATTTAAAACCTTTATATTTTAAGTCAGTGAAAACAAACATAAATTTATCTTCCAAATATGAATTCTTCTTATTCTCAAAACTTGTCTTGATATGCTATGATTATACTGAAATGAATAGTTTCAGGCAGACATATTTTTCTGTTGTAGGAAGTAATTTATATACATCATTTAAATTATGATCACCAAATATCCAAGTGTCTGAATCTATTATAAAATATTGCTTTAGGCTTATCAATTAGCAGGTTATTAAACCTTTGAAATCAGAAGCATAGTAAATATAATGACAAGCGCATCACTTTCTAAAATAAGGAGAAAAAAGAGAGGAATTTACAAATTAGGATCCACATTCAGACTAATTGGGCAGGTAGCTAGGTGACGGAAACCAAAGCGTCCCTAGAACATTTTAAAAAATCCTTTACTTCTTTTGAAGACTGTCATATTCTAGGAAAAAAAAAATCCATAATAGGCTATGTATAATTTTTTCCCCCTGAAACATAAAGTCTAACTTCACCTGCACTGTCAGAGAAGCAGGTTTTTTAAACCAAAGGAGATCAGCGCTCCAGGGTTAAACATGGAGACAGTACTTTATGTGCTCACTTTCTTTCCTGGGCTTCCTCTTCACTCTACTGCAAACAGATTTCTGCACAGCCGTTGTTCACATACACGGGGCGGGGCTGGGGCACAGAAATCCTCAGAACTATTTATCTCTTAAGGTTTCCTTCAGAGGCAGAATGTCGTAAATGATTCCACCTCACTCTGCTGCATACTTTTCAGAGGCATGCCAGAAAATATCTAAGCCAAGGACACCCCTCTAACAGCTGAATGAAAAAGAGGCAGTTTCTCCACTAGGAATTTCCTCGAGCTCAGAATCAAGTTCAATATTAATTCTTTGTGCAAGATTCTTCAATCAGAAAATTTCAAAAAGGCTTTACCTTTCCCAGAAGCCATACGGAAAGGATATTAATCTTACTTCACAAAATATTAAAAACTTCTGTAAATAAGGAATACCAAAAACAAAGTCAAAAGACAAATTACAAAATGAGAAAAATACCTGAGAAGTATATTACAAGGGGTTAATTTATTTCAAGTATAATAAGCATTTACAAATTAAAAAAATAGACAAAAGACCTTGAACTCGCGGTTTGCAGAAAAGCAATAAAATAGCTGATAAACATATGAAATCATCAACCTCAGTCATTACTCAACACAGGCCGCTTGAAACAATGAGGTACAGCTTTTTAACTGCCAGACTGGCAAAGATGAAACTCTTTGACATCACGCAGTGCTAGTGAAGGTGTAGGGAACATGCGCTCAAACGACTGGTATAAATAGAAATCTATAAAACCTTCCTGGGGGCAATTTGACAGTATTTCATTAAGAAAATATACACACATATTTTGATCCAGCAATTCTACTTCAAGAAATGGATCCCATAGTTATCTTAGTAGCTATGTGCAAATATGCAGGAGGAATAATATATATTGCATCATTGTCTCTAACAGCTTAAAATGAGAAAACCTAAATGTCCATTAATAGCAAAGTGATTAAATTATAACACATCTATAAAATAGGGTCCTAGGCATCCCTTGAGAGAATGAAGTAGAACTCTGACATATTAAAAAATGAACAAGGTATAGAAGATATATATAATAGAATTCCAACAGCATTAAAAAAAAAAGAAACACAATGTGTGCACATTTGTATGTAATGTATATACTCATATATGTAATCAAACATTCTGGAAGATACATAAACTGGTGAGTGGGACTGGGTGAGGGTAAAGAGAAGGCTGAGACTTTCACTTCTCAATTCATATTTCCCTGCATAGTTTGAATTCTTTTTACCATTATGTACATGTTACTTTTAAAATATAATTTAGAACACTAGTTAAAGATTAGTTCATTTTAATCAAAAGAACAAGTCTATACATCATGTAGGGTACCCGCCGTGAAAAAACCCTGAAGGAAACAGTTGGACTACCAGTGACCTGGCTGGTGTCTTTCTGATTTAATACAAGTGGCATTTGAAGGTAATTCATAAGAAATTTGTGCTTTCCCATCAGGATGCTAAAAACCAAGGCAGTAAGTGAGGAAATCCATATTCTACACTACACTATTAGGGCATTTCTTTAAAAAAAAAATTTGAACAGACATTCTGATACCACCTTTTAACATATCTTAGGGTTCTGAGTATGGGTAGGCCTAGCTAGTGAAAACTATTTCACTGTGAAAAACCTCAACAAACAGTTTAGAATTCCAACCAATTCTTCTAAAAGGCAAAAAAGTACCTCTTATATCCTAATATTGTGAGGGATGGGGGAAATGTATTCATTACAAAAGAGGTCTGGTGATATAAATGTGTGTAATTCGGTGCATTAAAAATTATAGAGTCCAGGGCTTCCCTGGTGGCGCAGTGGTTGGGAGTCCGCCTGCTGACACAGGGGACGCGGGTTCATGCCCCGGTCTGGGAAGATCCCACATAACGTGGAGAGGCTGGGCCCGTGAGCCATGGCCGCTGGGCCTGCGCGTCCAGAGCCTGTGCTCCGCAGCGGGAGGGGACACAACAGTGGGAGGCCCAGGTACCGCAAAAAAAAAAAACAAAAAAACTTATAGAGCCTGAAAGACAAGTCAGCCTGAAGTCTGCAGTATAAATTTTAAGATAAAAATGTAAGCTTTTTCCACGTTACATGCTCTGTTTCAACAACGGTTACATGGAAGACTTTCCCGCTGGGCTTTGTGTAGGGCCGTCCCCTTGTACTCACCTGTCAGGCTGTCTGGCCGAGGTGGAACCATCCTCTCGTAAATGTCATACTGCTGCTGTCCAAATTGTTCCATGTCATGAACAGTCCTTTGCAGTGAAGGTCCCAGATGCTGCGGTACGGCGGTCATCCCTGAGCGTTTGGGGGATAATGACCCCACCTGGCCTTGGGATGGGGAAGCTACTCGAGTCTGTGCATCCGTCAGGGTCAGTGGGGACCCCACTCTGGTGGTCGTTTGGTACTGAGGGGTTGGTCCGTTGGGACTGGAGGTCTGCCGGGAGGTGACTGACCCAATCCGACGTACAGCTGATGGGGAGGCGGGTCTCTGTGCAGAGTACGGAGAGGCTGCCCGCTGAGCAGGTAATGTGGTGGAGGAGTATGCACTGGGGTTCAGTGGTCGGGAGTCGGTCACTGATGGAGAGCCGAATCCACTACCAAGAGAAGTTCTCAGTGACCCCCTTGAAGGAGACACGCCTGTGCTGATAACATAAGAAGGAGACTGTGCTCTAGATGGAACTGAACTAACTCTTCTCATGGCCCGATTGGCTACTGATGGCTGATGAAAGGGGGAGAAAAGAGAATGGTTTATCCAGGGTTGTGTGTCCATTGTCATTACACAAAAAAATGTACATAGCTCACTACAGAATGTGAATTCACTATTTATTTTAGGCATCTAAGTTTCTTTTCCTTTTTTTGCTGTAGAGCTGGATCTTAATTTTTCCTTATTCTGTTTTTCTTGTTCTACTATTTTCTTTTTTGGTGGTGGTTTAATCACCAACTTTCCCCTTCAGAACACTAAAACCAACCAGTAAGGAGAGATCTAAAGACATTTAATATTCTTTTTTTCTTTTGTCTTTATATTATTTTACCCTCTGCCTACACATTTTCCACAACACATACTATGCCGTATTGCAAGTGTGAAGGGTCACTGGACCAGTGCACTTATTTTGTACCCTGCGAGTCAAAGTTTGGCTAAGTTAACCCATTTGTGAAAAACAGAAGCAAAACAAACAAAACAAAACTTTTTCAATATGTTAATCTAGATAAAGCTAGAGCAGTATCTATAACTGCCTTTATAACTGTCTTTATGGGTTGGCCCCATTAACAAAAAGAAGGTTCTTTCAAAGTGGAATAATTGAACGTCTGGATAGGGCCTGTGCTCTCAGCTCTCCTCTGTGAGTGCTGCATTAGTGCTTTAGCGAAATCTATCTTTTCTTTTAGCTTAAGTGTGGCTGCTAGTGATTTCAGCCATTTCTTTCTACCTCCTTTGATTTATAAGCTCTTGTCTTAAGCTGGTAGATCAAAAGAGATGCAAATACAAGTACCCTCAATCTGTTCCAGCAGGAGGTATGCTCAAAATCTCTGCTGAGTTCTGGCCAGCTGCAAATGACCAGACTGGGAAATGAAGAACATTTCTGCCAGGGCTAGTCCTTCTACGAATCCATAGACTTTTGCAAACACTGAGTCTCAGATCCCTTTCTTGATGCAGGACAACAATGAAGAAGAATGGTGGCTGGACTGAGGCAGTGGGTTATAAGCTCAGTACCAAGGTTTTTCTGTATCTCCTTAGTGACTACTAGAGTACAGTTGTCATCAACCCCCTTTCACTTTTAGTTGGGGCAATAAAGGAAGAAAAGGGATGAGTCACAGACTTTGTATACTCTTAGATGCCATAAGAAGAAACATGTTTTGTCTCCGCGTGTCATAAGCAGTTGGCTGGCTGAAACACCTGCTCTGAGACCACTTGGGTGCTCAAACTCAACAATTCTGGGAAGGCAATAGCCATGGAAAGGAGAAGATCTGGGGAGGGAAGGTGACTGAAAATAAACAATAAGGCAAGAAAGAGGGAGTTTAAAAATTAGTAGGCAGGAGAACACACAGTGTGCCTCAGGCTGTCACAACATCATGCCGGCCTCTGCCAACACAGCCTTGCCCTGCATTCCAATTATAACTACCGTACCCCCCCCCCCCCCCCCCCCTGCCGCGTGAGTGAGCCAGAGCCCCTAATCAGCAGCTGTTTTAACCCCGTCCTGTCTGGGCGGGAACAGATGCCTGGGGGCGACCGACACGCAGAGGCGGGGCCAAAACCAAAGCTGAGCCCCAGGAGCTGTGCGAACAAAGAAGAGAAAGGGAAATCTCTCCCAGCAGCCTCAGGAGCAGCGGATTAAATCCCCACAATCAACTTGAGGTACCCTGCATCTGTGGAATACCTGAATAGACAATGCGTCAACCCAAAATTGAGGCGGTGGACTTTGGGAGCAACTGTAGACTTGGGGTTTGCTGTCTGCGACTGACTTGTTTCTGATTTTTATGTTTATCTTAGTATAGTTTTTAGTGCTTGTTATCATTCGTGGATTTGTTTATTGGTTTGGTTGCTCGCTTCGTGTTTTTCAAATTGCTTTCTTATTTTTTAAATTTGAATTATTTTCTATTATTTTATTAATTATTATTTTTCTTTCTTTTTTTCTCCCTTTTCTTCTGAGCCATGTGGCTGACAGGGTCTTGGTGCTCCGGCCTGGTGTCAGGCCTGAGCCTCTGAGGTGGGAGAGTAAAGTTCAGGACACTGGACCACCAGAGACCTCCTGGCCCCACATAATATCAATCGGCAACAGCTCTCCCAGAGATCACAGTCTCAATGCTAAGACCCAGCTCCACCCAATGGAGAGCAAGCTCCAGCGCTGGATGCCCCATGCCAAATAACTAGCAAGACAGGAACACAACCCCACCCATTAGTAGAGAGGCTTCATAAAATCATACTAAGTTCACAGACACCCCAAAACACACCACTGGATGTGGCCCTGCCCACCAGAAAGACAAGATCCAGCCTCATCCACCAGAACACAGGCACCAGTCCCCTCCACCAGGAAGCCTACACAAGCCACTGAACCAACCTCAACTACTGGGGGCAGACTCCAAAAACAACAAGAACTATGAACCTGCAGCCAGCGAAAAGGTGACCCCAAACACAGTAAGTTAAGCAAAATGAGAAGACAGAGAAATATGCAGGAGATAAATGAGTAAGGTAAAAACCAAACAGACAAAATAAATGAAGAGAAAATAGGCAGTCTACCTGAAAAAGAATTCAGAGTAATGATAGTAAAGATGATCCAAAATCGTGGAAATAGAATGGAGAAAATACAAGAAATGTTTAACAAGGACCTAGAAGAGCTAAAGAGCAAATAAACAATGATGAACAACACAATAAATGAAATTAAAAATTCTCTAGAAGGAATTGATAGCAGTATAACTGAGGCAGAAGAACAGATAAGTGACCTGGAAGATAAAATAGTGGAAATAACTGCTGCAGAGCAGAATAAAGAAAAAAGAATGAAAAGAATTGAGGACAGTCTCAGAGATCTCTGGGACAATATTAAACACATCAACATTCGAATTATATGGGTCTCAGAAGAAGAAGAGAAAAAGAAAGGGCCTGAGAAAATATTTGAAGAGCTTATAGTTGAAAACTTCCCTAACATGGGAAAGGAAATAGTCAATCAAGTCCAGGAAGCGCAGGGAGTGCCACAAAAGAAAAATCGAAGGAGAAACACACCGAGACACATAATAATCAAACTATCAAAAATTAAATGCAAAGAAAAGATATTAAAAGCAGCAGGGGAAAAGCAACAAATAACATACGAAGGATTCCCCATAAGATTAACAGCTGATCTTTCAGTAGAAACTCTGCAAGCCAGAAGGGAGTGGCAGGACATATTGAAAGTGATGAAAGGGAAAAACCTACAACCAAGATTACTCTACCCAGCAACGAACTCATTCAGATTTGACAGAGAAATGAAAACCTTTACAGACAAGCAAAAGCTAAGAGAATTCAGCACCACCGAACCAGCTTTACAACAAATGCTAAAGGAGCTTCTCTAGACAGGAGACATAAGAGAAGGAAAAGACCTACAATAGCAAACCCAAAACAATTTAAAAATGGTAATAGGAACATACATATTGATAATTACCTTAAATGTAAATGGATTAAATGCTCCAAACAAAAGACACAGACTGGCTGAATGGATACAAAAACAAGGCCCATATATATGCTGTCTACAAGAGACCCACTTCAGACCTAGGGACTCATACAGACTGAAAGTGAGGGGATGGAAAAAGATATTCCATGCAAATGGAAATCAAAAGAAAGCTGGAGTAGCAATTCTCATATCAGACAAAATAGACTTTAAAATAAAGATTATTACAAGAGACAAAGAAGGACACTACATAATGATCAAGGGATCAATCCAAGAAGAAGATATAACAATTGTAAATATTTATGCACCCAACATAGGAGCACCTCAATATATAAAGCAAATGCTAACAGCCATAAAAGGGGAAATTGACAGTAACACATTCATAGTAGGGGACTTTAACACCCCACTTTCACCAATGGACAGAACATCCAAAATGAAATTAAATAAGGAAACACAAGCTTTAAATGACACATTAAACAAGATGGACTTAATTGATACTTATAGGACATTCCGTCCAAAAACAATAGAATACGCTTTCTTCTCAAGTGCTCATGGAACATTCTCCAGGATAGGTCATATCTCGGGTCACACATCAAGCCTTGGTAAATTTAAGAAAATTGAAATCATATTAAGTATCTTTTCTGACCACAACGCTATGAGACTAGATATCAATCACAGGAAAAAAACTGTAAAAAATACAGACACATGGAGGCTAAACACTATGCTATTAAATAACCAAGAGATCACTGAAGAAATCAAAGAGGAAATCAGAAGATATCTAGAGACAAATGACAATGAAAACATGCCAACCCAAAACCTATGGGATGAAGCAAATGCATTTCTAAGAGGGAAGTTTATAGCAATACAATCCTACCTCAAGAAACAAGAAAAATCTCAAATAAACAGCTTAACCTTACACCTAAAGCAATTAGAGAAAGAAGAAGAACAACAACAAAAACCCCCAAAGTTAGCAGAATGAAAGAAATCATAAAGATCAGATCAAAAATAAATGAAAAAGAAATGAAGGACACAATAGCAAAGATCAGTAAAACTAAATGCTGGTTCTTTGAAAAGATAAACAAAATTGATAAACGATTAGCCAGACTCATCAAGAAAAAAAGGGACAGGTCTCAACTCAACGGAATTAGAAATGAAAAAGGAGAAGTAACAACTGACACTGCAGAAATACAAAGGATCATGAGAGACTACTATAAGCAACTATGTGCCAATAAAATGGACAACCTGGAAGAAATGGACAAATTCTTAGAAAAGCACAACCTTCTGAGACTGAACCAGGAAGAAATAGAAATATAAACAGACCAATCACAAGCACTGAAATTGAAACTGTGATTAAAAATCTTCCAACAAACAAAAGCCCAGGACCAGATGGCTTCACAGGTGAATGCTACCAAACATTTAGAGAAGAGCTAGCACCCATCCTTCTCAAACTCTTCCAAAATAGCAGAGGGAGGAATACTCCCAAACTCATTCTACAAGGCCATCATCACCCTGATACCAAAACCAGACAAAGACGTCACAAAAAAAGAAAACTACAGACCAATATCACTGATGAACCTAGATGCAAAAATCCTCAACAAAAATACTAACAAACAGAATCCAACAGCACATTAAAAGGATCATACACCATGATCAAGTGGCGTTTATCCCAGGAATGCAAGGATTCTTCAATATATGCAAATCAATCAATGTGATACACCATATTAACAAACTGCAGGATAAAAATCATATGATCATCTCAATAGATGCTGAAAAAGCTTTTGACAAAATTCAACACCCATTTATGATAAAAACTCTCCAGAAAGTAGGCACAGAAGGAACTTACCTCAACAAATAAAGGCCATATATGACAAACCCACAGCCAACATCGTCCTCAATGGTGAAAAACTGAAACCATTTCCTCTAAAATCAGGAACAAGACAAGGATGCCACTCTCACAAATATTATCCAACAGAGTTTTGGAAGTTTTAGCCACAGCAATCAGAGAAGAAAAAGAAATAAAAGGAATCCAAATCGGAAAAGAAGAAGTAAAGCTGTCACTGTTTGCAGATGACATGATACTATACATAGAGAATCCTAAAGATGCTACCAGAAAACTAGTAGAGCTAATCAATGAATGGGGTAAAGTAGCAGGATACAAAATTAATGTACAGAAATCTCATGCATTCCTATACACCAATGATGAAAAATCTGAAAGAGAAATTAAGGAAACACTCCCATTTACCTCTGCAATGAAAAGAATAGAACACCTAGGAATAAACCTACCTAAGGAGACAAAAGATTGCGGGCTAATCGGCGGCATTTGCGGAGGCTGGCGTTTAGGGTGTCTGTGCTAGTTGCTGCTTTTGGTGCGAAAAATGCCTGGTCTGGCGGCCACAAGCCCTGCCCCATCTGAGTCGCAGGAGAAGAAGCCTCTGAAGCCCTGCTGTGCCTGCCCAAAGACCAAGAAGGTGTGCGATGCGTGATTGAGAAAGGACAAGAGAACTGTGGACACCTAATGGAGGCCCACAAAGAATGCAAAAGTTTTCTGTATGCAGAAAACTATAAGACACTGATGAAAGAAATTAAGGATGATACAAACAGATGGAGAGATATACCATGTTCTTGGATTGGAAGAATCAACATCGTGAAAATGACTATACTACCCAAGGCAATCTACAGATTCAACGCGATCCCTATCAAACTACCAATGGCATTTTTCACAGAACTAGAACAAAAAATGTCACAATTTGTATGGAAACACAAAAGACCCCAAGTAGCCAAAGCACTCTTGAGAAAGAAAAACGGAGCTAGAGGAATCAGGCTCCCTGACTTCAGTCTATACTACAAAGCAACAGTAACCAAGACAGTATGGTACTGGCCCCAAAACAGAAAATATAGATCAATGGAACAGGATAGAAAGCCCAGAGATAAACGCATGCACAAATGGTCACCTTATCTTTGATAAAGGAGGCAAGAATATAAAATGGAGAAAAGAATTCTCTTCAATAAGTGGTGCTGGGAAAACTGGACAGCTACATGTAGAAGAATGAAATCAGCACCCTCCCTAACACCGTATACAAAATTAAACTCAAAATGGATTAAAGACCTAAATGTAAGGCCAGACATTATAAAACTCTTAGAGGAAAACACAGGCAGCAGACTCTTTGACATAAATCACAGCAAGATCCTTTTTGACCCACCTCCTAGAGAAATGGAAATAAAAACAAAAATAAACAAATGGGACCTAATGAAACTTCACAGCTTTTGCACAGCAAATGAAACCATAAACAAGACAAAAAGACAACCCTCAGAATGGTAGAAAATATTTGCAAATGAAGCAACTGACAAAGGATTAATCACCAAAATATATAAGCAGCTCATGCAGCTCAATATCAAAAAAAACAAACAACCCAATCCAAAAATGGGCAGAAGACCTAAATAGACATTTCTCCAAAGAAGATATACAGATTGCCAACAAACACATGAAAGGATGCTCAATATCACTAATCATTGGAGAAATGCAAATCAAAACTACAATGAAGTATCACCTCACATCGGTCAGAATGGCCATCATCAAAAAATCTATAAGCAATAAATGCTGGAGACAGTGTGGAGAAAAGGGAACCCTCCTGCACTGTTGGTGGGAATGTAAATTGATACAGCCACTATGGAGAACAGTATGGAAGTTCCTTAAAAAACTACAAATAGAACTACCATACCATACCATATACCAGCAATCCCACTACTGGGCATGTACCCCGAGAAAACCATAATTCAAAAAGAGTCATGTACCGCAGTGTTCACTGCAGCACTATTTACAATAGCCCGGAGATGGAAGCAACCTAAGTGTCCATCGACAGATGAATGGATAAAGAAGATGTGGCACATATATACAAGGGAATATTACTCATCCATATAAAGAAATGAAATTGCGTTATTTGTAGTGAGATGGAGGGACCTAGAGTCTGTCATAGAGAGTGAAGTAAGTCAGAAAGAGAAAAACAAATACTGTTTGTATTTGTACTGCTAACACATATATATGGAATCTAAAAAAAAAAAAAAAAAAAGGTTCCAATGAACCTAGGGGCAGGACAGGAATAAAGACACAGAAGTAGAGAATGGACTTGAGGACACGGTGAGGGGGAAGGGTAAGCTGGGATGAAGTGAGAGAGTAGCATTGACATATATACACTATCAAATGTAAAATAGATAGCTAATGGGAAGCAGCCACGATGCACAGGGAGATCAACTCGGTGCTTTGTGACCACCTGGAAGGGTGAAATAGGGAGGGTGGGAGGGAGATGCAAGAGGGAGGGGATATGGGGATATACGTATACATAGAGCTGATTCAGTTTGTTATACAGCAGAGACTAACACACCATTGTGAAGCAATTATACTCCAAAAAAGATGTTAAAAAAGAAAAAACAAAAGAAAACAAAACAAAAAAATTAGTAGGCAGTTGGAAAATTAAAATCTGTACTTGGGGTTTACTAATAGTGCTAAAGATAATTTAAAAAATCCCACACATAAGCTGTTTACTATCAGAATGGGATGACACTTGGCCCAGATATCTAGAAATTGTGTTCCCCAGAATACATGCAAGTTCAGTTTTAAAGACGGTCTTGCAATCTCCAGGAACAAAATTAACTTACCGTAAGTTAAAAAATAAATAAATTAATTAAAAAGGTCTCATGGCCACTCTTAGGGGCAAAATAGACAATCTGTGTAATTAATTATTATTCGGAAGAGTGACTTTAGACCTGCCAACATAGAAATTCACCTAAGCAGATGAACACCTGTAAGCATTTAGTCCAAAGTTTCCCAGAGTGTTTCATCAGAGCATCCCTAACAGCAGAGGAGTAACTGTACCATCTGAGGAACGGAGCTGGTGCAGAGGGGTCTGCAGCTGGAAGTAGTTTGCTATGGGCACAAGATTTCCTGTCTTACCTTAAAATTCATGCACCATATTTGTGTTTGTTTTAATACAGAAATGTTTCTTTTCTTTTCTTTTCTTTTCTTTTTTTGCGGTACGCGGGCCTCTCACTGTTGTGGTCTCTCTCGTTGCGTACCACAGGCTCCGGACGCGCAGGCCCAGCGGCCATGGCTCACGGGCCCAGCCGCTCCGCGGCATGTGGGATCCTCCCGGACCAGGGCACGAACCCGTGTCCCCTGCATCAGCAGGCGGACTCTCAACCACTGCGCCACCAGGGAAGCCCCAGAAATGTCTCTTAATACTTAAAAGTTTCCCTTAACTTGCTGAGCCAAAGTCGTTTTGTGTTTCTCCTTTGGCATTGCGAATGCTGGCCCACTGCTGTGTGTACCTTCAGGGCTTCCTGTGTCGCATTAAGAGAAGCTTAGGGTTCGCCTGACTTCTTTGATCATCTTGCCATTTTTCAGCTCCAGAGAAATCACGGGGGTACTTGGACAGAGAGATCCTCACTAGTTGTTGCCACTCGGGACTCCTATTATTTTTATTAATTCTGGCACATGCTGGTGGACTGAGGTGAATAAAGTGGCAGTGAGTGAGGAGTTGAGGAGTTGTTATAAATACATATGCATTATTATCTTTGACTATCAAGTAAGAAAACCTTAACAGAATAGTTATGCTTCTATATAGTAGCTCCCTATAGGCAGGAATATCTATATTCTAGCAAAGCAAAATAGTACGTTTTCAGAGAACAATTCCAACGATGAAGGCGAAAACTTTGGTTAGAATGGGCCAGTCCCATTTTGTGCAGGTGTGGGAATACTGCTTTGCCCTCTAGAACTCTTTACAGCATATTTTAGCTCTAGTATTTTTAGGAACTCATAAACCCTCAGGGACTAGAACATTCCACCCAATCCTCTCACACTCTCCGTGGACTATTCCCCTCATGCCAAACTTGCTGCTTACAGAAAAATTACTCTCCAATGTCTAGAATTTATCAGAATTCATTAATAGGAACTAATGCAGTTTTAGATTTCAAGTGTAAAATTTCATTAACATCATGGACTCATAGTGTAAAATGAGTCCATTTTTAAAAAATGGATCGAGATGTATTTGGCTTACCTGAACCAGTGTTTGTCCTTCAGCTCTTGAATTCCTCACCAGGTGGTTATTAGTTGATCCTATGAATGAATGTTGTGGCCTATTATCTGCCTTACTCAAGTTCTGGCTGTTGTGGAAACTCCCTGCTTCCTGGTATCCACTGTCGGAATAAGAATTCATTTGTGTTGAACTTCTTGAGTTACCCAATGATCCTGAAGGAATGAAACCAGCAGAATATATCTTCATTTTACACTTCTGATGCTCATTTTCAAAATGGAAATATTAAAAGCAAATCTACTACTTAAAAGATAATACAACAGACCCTCACTTTCATGGAGAGACGTCTGTTCTGGTGAGTAGAGGGTTCCTTGCTCTGGCTCTGTCCTGATGAGATAGCTATTGGGATGGACAGCGTCCGAAGCTCTAGGTTTGTTTACACCAGTATTTGGCACATCTGGAAGAAGATAAGTTTAATCAGCTAAACTCAATGAAAATAATACATAAAAACTTGCTAAAAAAAGGGTTCAGGTATTTGTCAGTAATGTCTTATAATCTTAATACAAGACTATTAACTCAAGGCTTCATACAAGTTAATAAAAGACTATTTTCACCTTAAACTGCACAGTCATTTTGACTCTTTTCTATATGAAAGTGTTCCATATACTCAGTTTATTAATATATTTTGCCAAATTTCATGAATGTTTTTCATCCTGATTACCAGCCACAAATTAACTTACATACTACATTAAATTAATATCTGAAAACTGACCTTGTTACCCCTTGGAAAACTCACCTCTCAGGGTGAGTTCCTCCAAGAGGATTAACAGATGGAATGAGAAGGGTGACTATGTAAAAAAAGATCCTCCATATCTCAAACTATTGAAGTGAAAACTTGCATGATATTCACATTATTGAGCTTGGTGATGAAACCTCTGAAGGTAGGGCTAGCTTTTTATGTCACATTTCATATCATCTAAAATCAAAGGAACTCTGCAGAGTTTTCAGAACTGCCAACAATGGAAATTTAAATTTCTTATCCATTTGCTTATTTTATTCTTATAGTCTTTACAAAATGAATATAGACAAATCTAACCTCATTATTGTTTTCTTTACTCAAATCTGTCTCGCCCATTATCTTGTTTTATTTTCAACTGCATCATTTTGCCATCTTGAACTTAAAAAACAAAACAACTTATCTTCTTCCCGATTCCAACCTCTTTTTTATGCTGTAAATTTAGGTGGTGTAGCTTTTACTGCCTTTTCCCAGCTCTAATCAAATATGTTCTCTTTCCTCTAGGTTCTTCAAAATATATTTGCGCATATTCTGATTATATTCATGACAAGTCTTTCTTTCCTCAAGTTTAACCCTCATGTTACTAACAAACATTTTTTTTCAGGAATGCCACTTCACTCTCACTTTACAGGTTTAAATTGAATCGGTATCACATTCTGAGTTTAACACACAATCCTAAGGATTGAAATTAGTCTTTCCTTTCTGACTTTCTTTAACTATTTATTAAGGCCCTACTATATGCCAGGCTCTAAGCATGCAGCTGAGAAAAGATACAGTGTTTGTGTGTCACCGTGCATGCACATGTTTGTGTTACTGTCTGGGGAAAGGAGCTTAGGAAAAATTTCCTAAAGGAAGTAATATCTAAGCAGTATCCACTTACCACAGGAGGCCAGTTTGCCCTTTCTTTATAACACTTATCACCATCTCTCTCCACTAGACTGTAAGCTCAAAGCAGGCAGGGACTTTTGTCTGCTTTGTTTACTGTTGTATCCTCAGTGCCTAGGATAGGTGCACAGCACTCAGTAGGTGCTCAGTAAATATTTATTGAACAAACAAATTCCCAGTAAGAATAGCAGCTTCTCTTTATTGAGCACTGATTCATGCCTGCCTGGCATTGTGCTGTGGGCTTTACTTTATTGTGTTCAATAAGGTTTGTCTATGAAAAGCAAAGTAAAACTTTTAGGCATTGCTGATCAAGCTAGTTTGGAAAGGGAATATAGGGTTTACAGGAGAACTGGGATGCCACATTCTAAACCTTTAACTTGATGTCAGATTCAATCCAAGGTTTTGTTTCCTAGCCTCCAGAAAGATTTGCTGACATTCCTAATATAGGTTTTTGATGACCCTGTCTCTAGGTTTATCATTTGACATTACACTTCTAGGTAGCAGAACTCTGTGATAGTTCTGAATTCTTAAGTTTGGAATTTCAATACAGATTTCAGATTGTATGTGGATTCCCTGGTACACACGGAAACATGATCTAAGTCTGTATCAGGCTGATAATAGTGAAGAGTAATCTGCTTCATTTGTAAGTCTTCTGTCTTCCCACAGTTCTAAACACTCTTACACAGCAATTCTTGAAGGAGTTTTATTCGGGACTAAGTAAAATACATACTTTGCTAGGTTATAAGAGTTTTACAGGGAATGGAATGCCTCAGAGAAGCTAAACAAGAGAGGACCTGAAATCAGAGCTAGGTAGTAATCCACCTTTATTTCATCCAGGAACGGAACACTGGAAAATCACAAAGGAAATGGCAACAAACTATAGACATGGAAGCACCAATCTGGCAGTTTCAAGAATTGGCATAATGGAAAAGTGTGCCACTTTTAAAAAGAAAAAGACGTTTAGATAGCTCCTAGCTTCAGCTTTAGTACAAGATAAAACCTGGGATACCATTACATCAAACCTCTTGGCTTGGAAACACTAGGTGGCATGCAGTGTCAGAATCTGAAAAATTATCACCATGGAAACCAAAACCATTAGAGTTCTGTGTATGTCTGTCTCTTTTTAACCATTAGGAGATATTATTTAAGTAAGAAAAGAAAAAGAGACGCTAAAAATCTGTACTTCAGCAATTTTGTCTCTTTATCCAATGAAACATTTTCTCACAAACCAGGTGACAAGCAATTGTGCTCATTTACACTCTTTTCTAAGAGAAGCTATTTAAAATAATCTTGATGGGATCAAGATGGCAGAGTAGGAGGATCCTGAGCTCACTTCCTCCTACGGATACACAAAACTGCAACTACGGATAGAACAACCATGTCTGAGAATGGCCTGAAGACTAGCAGAACAGATTTTCTACAACTGAGGATATAAAGAAAAGTCCACATTGAGATGGGTAGGAGGGGAAGATACACGGTCTAGTCAGAACGCACACACTTAGTGCAGCAACCCACAAACAGGAGAGATATTACAACCGTGGAGGACCCCTGAGGAGCGAGGGACCCAAGTCCCACGTCACGCTCCCCAGACCAGGGGAGCTGCACAAGGAAGACAAGCCCCCATAACGTCTGGCTTTGAAAACCAGCAAGGCTTAAGTCTGGAAGAGCCAGAGGGCTGTGGGAAACCAAGACTCTGCCCATAAAGAGCTCACACACAAACTCACCTGTTCCAGGTACCAGGGCAGAAGCAACAGCTTGAAAAGCATCGAGGTCATATGAGAAGGAGATTCACTGACTAATTTGGAGGTATGTGCCAGACGGCAGGTATCTGGTGGAACTTTCTTTGGGAATGGAAACACTCTCAGATGCCATTTTTCTTCTTTTCACTTTCCTTCCCCCTGGCTGACCTGTTGCTGGCAGCTGCCATTTCTGTTTCTCTTTTCTCAACCTAACTAACACTGTGCACCTTCCCCAGGTGTTCCTGAGGACCAGCCCTGCACAACCCACCTGCCCCAGCGGGCCCCTTTAAAGTGGTTCTCACTCTGCCCCAGCCAGTGGGTAGCCCCAGCCAGCACTGGAACCCCTCCAAAGTGGCTCTCACTCCAGGGAGCTAGCTCAGCATATCAGCATGTCTGCAACAGTTCCGGCTGGCCTTGCAGCCAGTTGAGCTGGGGACCAGCCCCACACATCAGTGTGCCTGCAGCAGTTGAGGAAAAACCTATTAGCTGGCTGAACCAAGGGGGTGAGCCCAGCCTACCAGAGTGCCTGTAGCAATAGTGGTCTAACCACAACAAGAGGGCACACACAGGGGTAGCCCTGGATATCCTGGCTCTTGTGACCAGGAGGAACTGTGATACTGGACCTCACAGGGAACTTTCTATATAAGACCACCTTTTCAGGACCAGGAGAAATAGATGATATGCCTAATGCATAGAAACAAACACAGAGAGTTAGACAAATGAGAAGACAAAGGAATAGCTTCCAAATGAAAAAAACAAGACAAAAACTCAGAAAAAGAACTAAACAAAATGGAGATAAACAATTTACCAGGTAGAGTTCAAAATAATGGTCATAAAGATGCTCACCAAACTAGGATGAAGAATGGATGAACTCAGGGAGAACTTCAAAAAAGAGAGAGAAAATATAAAAAAGAACTAATCAGAATTGAAGAATAAAATAACTGAAGTAAAAAACACACTAGAGGAAATCAACAGCAGATTAGAGGATGCAGAATAACATATCAATGATATGGAAGACAGGATGGTGAAAATCACTGAGTAAGAAGAGCAAAAAGGAAAAAGAATTTAAAAAATGTGGATAGTTTAAGGGACTACTGCAACAACATCAACTATCTAACATTCACACTACAGGGTCTGTAGAAGGAGAAGAGAGAGAGAAAAGGACAGAAAATCCATCTGAAGAAACAATGGCTGAAACTCCCCTAACCTGGGGAAGAAAACAGATATCCAGGTGCAGGAAGCACAAAGTCCCAAATAAGATGAACTCAAAGAGATCCACACCAAGACATAATTAAATGGCAATAGTTAAAGATAAAGAGAGAAAAACAAAAAGTCACATACAAGGGTTAATATGCCATAAGGCAATTGGCTGATTTTTCAGCAGAAACTTTACAGGCCATAAAGGAGTGGCATGATATAGTCAAAGTAATGAAAGGAAAAACTTACGACCAAGAATACCCTACCCAGCAAGATTATCATTCAGAATTGAGAGATAAAGAGTTTTCCAAACAAGTAAAAGCTAAAGAAGTTCATCATCGCTAAACTGGTCTTAAAAAAATGTTAAAAGGACTTTTTTAAATGGAAAAGAAAAGGCTATAACTAGAAACAAACAAACAAATGAACAAGATGAAAGAAAAAAGTAGCACTGGTAAAGGGAAACATTTAGTAAAAGTAGTGGATCGACCACCTAAAAGGTCAGTATGAAGGTTAAAGGACAAAAGTAGTAAAATCATCTATATCTAAAAGAATGAGCTAAGTGATACACAAAATGAAAGTAAAATATGACCTCAAAAACATAAAATGTTCAGGGAGGGGAGTAAAAAAAGTAGTGCTTTTAGAAAGTGCACAAACTTAAGTGACCATCAACTTAAAATAGACTGCTATATTCATAGGCTGTTATATATAAAACTCATGGGAACCACAAACCGAAAACCTGTAACAGATACACAAAAAATAAAGAGAAAGAAATATAACCATTACACTAAAGAAAGCCATCAAATCACAAGGGAAGAGAACAAGAGAAGAAGGAAGGAACAT